GAATTGGAAAGGAAGAAGTTAAACTTTCGTTATTTGCAGATAATATGATAGTGTACAGAAGTGACCCTAAAACTCTTCCAAAGAACTCCACATCAGTCATGTGGCAGGATACAAGATCAACCCCAAAAAATCAGTAGCCCTCCTAATATACAAAGGATAAAAAAGCAGATAGGGAAATCAGAGAAGCATCACCTTTCATGATAGCCACAAAAAGTATAAAGTATCTTGGGCTAATACTAACAAAGGAAGTGAAAGATCTATTGGACAAGAACTTTAAGATTTTGAAGAAAGAAATTGAAGAGGATGCAAGAAAATGGAACGATCTCCTATGCTCTTGAATTGGTAGGATCAACATGGTAAAAATGGCAATTCTACCAAAGACAATCAATAGATTCAATGCAATCCCCATCAAAATCCCATCAAAATTCTTCACAGACCTTGAGAGAACAATAACAAGTGTATATGAAAAAAACAAACAAACAAACAAAAAACCCAGGATAGCCAAAACAATTATATACAATAAAGGTACTTCTGGATGCATTATCATCCCTGACTTCAAAATCTATTACAGAGCTACAGTACTGAAAACAGCTTGGTATTAGCATAAAAACAGAGACTTTGACCAATGGAATCTAACTGAAGACCTGGATATTAATCCACAATCCTATGAACAGCTGACTTTTGACAAAGTAGCTAAAATTATACAATGGAAGAAAGAAAGCATCTTTAACAAATGGTGCTGGAATGACTGGATACCCACATGTAGAAGAATGAAAATAGATCCATATTTCACCATGCAAAAGGCTCAAGTCCAAATAGATTAAAGACCTCCATATAAATCCTACCACACTGAACCTGATAGAAGAAAAAGTGGGAAATAGACTGCAACACATGTGCACAGGAGACCACTTCCTATGTATAACCCCAATAGCACAGAGAATAAGAGCAGCAATGAATAAATGGGACCTCCTAAAACTGAGAAGTTTCTGTAAAGCAAAGGACAGCATCATTAAGATAAACAGCAACCTACTAAATGGGAGAAAATCTTCATCAACCCTGCAACAGACAAAGGTCTGATCTCCAAAATATATAAAGATCTCAGGAAATTAGACATTATAATTCTTAATAACCCAATTAAAAAATGGGGTACTGAACTGAACAGAGAATTCTCAACAGAAGAAGTTTCAAATGGCCAAAAGATACTTAAGGTCATGCTCAACCTCCTTAGCCATCAAGGAAATGCAAGTCAAACAACTTTGAGATACCAGCTTACACCTGTCAGAATGGCTAAAATCAAAAACACCAATGATAACCTATGCTGGAGAGGACGTGGACTACGGGGAACTCTCATCCTTTTGTGGTGGAATGCAAACTTATGTAACCACTTTGGAAATCATTGTGTTGTTTTCTCAGGAAATTGGGAGTCAACCTACCTCAAGATCCAGCAATACCACTCTTGAGATTATACCCAAAAGATGCCCAAATACCACTCTTGAGATTATACCCAAAAGATGCCCAATCATACTACAAAAGCAATTGTTCAACTATGTTTATAGCAGCAATATTTGTAATATACAGAGCCTGGAAATAACCTAGATGCCCCTCAATGGAAAAAATGGATAAAGAAAGTGTGGAACATATACACATTAGTGTACTACTCAGCAGTAAAAAACAATGACATCTTGAATTTTGCATGCAAATGGATGGAAAGAGAAAACACTATTCTCAGTGACATAACTCAGACCCAAAAAGATGAATATGGTTTGTACTCACTCATTAGTGGACTCTAGCTATAAGCAAAGAACATTGAGCCTATAGTTTGCTATCATAGAGAAACTAAATAATAAGGTGAACCCAAAGAAAATCATATAGAGATCCTCCCGGAAATTGGAACCATACAAGATTACTGAGCAAAAGTTGGAAGCATTGGGTTGGAGGTGGGGGTGTGGTGGGGAAAAGAGGAGTGGGGGAGACAAAAGGGAGAAGGGAAGTGTAGGAGAGAGCTTGGGGGAGTTGGATGGTTGAGATGGAGGAAGGGCGGATATGGGAGTAGGGAAGAAGATATTTTAATTAAGGGAGCCATTTTATGGTTGGCAAGAGCCTTGGCTGTAGAGGGGATCCCAGGTGCCCACAGGGATGTCGCCAGCTAGGTCCTTGGGCAGTAGAGGAAAAGGGGCCTGAACTGGCCTTGCCCCATAGTCACACTGTCAAATATCTCAAATATCACTATAGAACCTTTGGCGATGGATGTGAGATAGAGTGAGAGACCCACATAGGAGCACTGGACTGAACTCCCAAGGTCCAGTTGAAGAGTAGAAGGAGGGAGAAGATGATCAACGAAGTCAGGACCGTGAGGGGTTGGTCCATTCATTGAGACAGTGTTCCTGAATTATTGGGAGCTCACCAAAGCCAGCTGGACTGGGGTTGAATGAGCATGTTATCAAACTGGACTCTCTGTAGCTGACAATGGGGACTGACTGAGAAGCCACTGGGATTTGTTTCTACTGCGTGTACTGGCTTTTTGGGATCCTAGTCTGTTTGGATGCACACCTTCCTAGGCCTGGATTGAACGGGGAGGGCCTTGGATTTCCCAAAGGACAAGGTACCCTACCCTTTCTTAGGAGGAGGAGGAGGGAGGAGGGTGAGTGAGAAAGCAGCCGGAGGGAAAAGGGAAGAGGGAGGAAGTGAAAATTTTGAATGGCATTATTTACAAAGCAAGAAAATTTAAAATATCTACATATTGATTAATTCATTCACGCCAATGTTGATATTAAACATCATTATAAAGTTAGAGAAAAGAGTCATACAGTTGTTTACAAGTAGTCTAGCATGACAGATATAAAAATCATTGAAACACAGAAACAGAAGCATATACACAGAAACAATAACACACACATGGAGACACACACAGACACTGAATTTAGATCACAAGCCTAATACTGAGCATGTGAAAAAATAATGCCATGATCAAGAAAGTATTGCAGAATTTATGATACTCTATATTTGCTCTCCGAATGTGGAAGATAACATGAATGATTTATACCTATTCTTTTCCTTGTCCTTCAAGGTACAGCCTGGGGAGATTTATACTTGTGCCATGGGGATATTTCCATCTGTGTGACAGTATGGCTGCCCCATTAATCCAGTTTTTTTTTCTTGTGCACTCTGTATAGAAATATTGATGCTATTGGACTGTGGCTCATGAGGGATATATTTACCATCTTCTTGTGAAGCTCATATATTCCCTATTCTGCATCTGTACAAGATGATTCCAAAAACCGAGAGTGAACATTTCCAAGAATGATTAATCAGAGAGTTTGGGATTACCCACCCAGAAAATGCTCTTCTTTTATATTACTAAAGGGACAGCATAGTGTTCTTATTAGGTTGAGAATGGGATCAGGAAAAAAATGTTACCTTCAGATTGAATTTTCCTGGCCAAGATCACAGTTTTTGCATTAAAGTTGGAGCCTCAAGCAAAAGACTTCCTAAATTTCAACGGAAAGCTTGTCTATTCTGATAAGTCATATTGACTCTATTTTAAAACTAAGACCTGATTCATATGAAAACCAGTATAATCTGTAAGAGTAAATTCTCATGTTTTATTAAAAAGGTCTTATTAATATATTTTACGCAAAACTGGAATCTGCTTACTGGTACTTGTAAAGTGTCCCTTCAATAACACTTATGACTTCATGGGAGGAACTATCTTTAAAGCAAATTAAAGGAAATTCAATTTTACATAAGAGGGAGTATTATTCTATTATTATTCACTGTTTAATCTTTGTTGAATAGTTTTTATTATTAGATTTTTCATGTATCATGTTTATTTTCAAGTTAAAATATAATAATTGATGGTGTTATTGAGAATATTATGAGAATGATAAAATAATAATGATAATAATTATTAGAAAAAAATTATTAATATTCCCTCAAGTTGTGTTGTGTCAACATAGTTCAGTCCTTACTAAGAATCTTAGCAGGCCTTCAGTGTATGACATCATGTAAATAAAGAGCTTGGTATATAAATGGGAGGGAATTATACAGGAGACAGACAAGAGAAATATACCTAACTTTTTGCATTTGGCTTCATGTCTATATTGATTTAAATAGAAGCTTCTCCTCCATAACAGCAAACACCTGGATAGAAATTTTTCAAGGAACTCATTGCCTTTTAATCCATATCTTTGTTGATTTTTTTCCATTATAAGCATCTTTAAGGAGGAAATAAGACTTGTTTAGATGCAAATGCTTGCAATGACACATCTTGCCTTACCTTTGTTATCTTTCAAAGAAAAGTTTTGGTTATTTGTTGTATCTGTTGTTAAGCTGAAGTAAAAGTGATGACCATCAGATGGCTCATCTTTGTCTACAGCACTGATTTTCTGGATAACCTAGGTAGAGAGAATGTAATAGAAAAAGATGTACTGCTGCACTCTAATGAAAGTTCTACAGCAGGGCATAAGAATTTTTACACCTCGTTGTAATGTGAATCCATTCAGTGAGGTTAGGCAGTAGACCAGGTGTACAAAATTACACTCAATTTAAAATAGGCTCTGGAAAACAAATCATATCCTTTTCATAGTGCATATTCTAGCTTACTTTTGTGAACCTCACAAACAAGCTGCTACAACTGTTTATACATCCAAGTAAATATCACAAGACTGCGCAATATGGTAGACAAACCAAAGCCACTTTGAACTGCATGTCATTCTTAGTCAAGGTTCTTTCATAGCTCAATCAAACTTAATAAGTTTTATTTCTTCTTAAAGGAATCCAAGCTTTTAAACACAAAACTGGGTTAATTTTTACAATATTTTCTTTCCTCAGGATAACTGAGGAATTTTCAAAACCATATTAAAACAGAATTTGAAAGTTCTTTTAATATTAGTTCATGGTACACATCAAAGTTCTGGGGTACTTCAAAGATACAACTAGGAAATGCTTTTAAAGAAACTCCAAACAAAAAGGAAGTTGATTCGAACTTCTTACCTGCCCAGGCTGAGCATTTTCACAGACAGTGGTTTCATAGTCCATGGCAAACTCAGGGGCATTGTCATTAATGTCCAGTATAGTGATGGCCACATATCCTCTGCCAACCTGAGATGGATTCTCTGGTCAATAAAAAAATTCTAATTAATTCTGATAGAATACTCATCATACTCTTGATATTTTATTCAAGAAACATGAAAAATAAGCAAAAAATGAAAATTTTCTTTTTCAAAAGTATAATCTCAAGTAATAATTCTATTTGTAATACCACATATAATCTGAACCTTATAGACTCATTAACTTATATATTTATACATCTAAACACATCTTATATGGTTTTATATAATGCATAATTGTGAGGTGTCTATATTTATGTTTTCTATATAAATATGTGGATATATACATAATTATGTTTATATAAAAACAGATAAACTATATGTTTTAATATACACATATATTTGTATGCATCTATTTGTGTGTCTGTCAAGTTCCTGATAAGAAAATTGCTGAATGAGGAATAGTGAATCATGAAATTTAACTCAATGATGTCATAGTTCATATTTATGTTAGTATTAGCAAATTACATACACATATATTTTCTTTGATTATACATTTTAGTAATATAGATTTATTTTCTTCTAAATTACTTCATTCTTATACTAAAATTAGTTATTAGAACATTCCTATCAATGTGTATTGGGTAGAGATTAACTAACTTCACAGCATGATAAAGGCAGTAATATTAAGGATGCAAACATAAAAAAGCTTCAGAGAGCAATTCACACCCATGAGCTTTTACATTTCTATGTTTTGAATTAGCTATGTAAAAATAATCACAAGAAATCAGTAAATCTATATGTATTTTGCAGCTTACTGATTTTGGAATTTCTTGAGTTTGTTTAACTTAAACAAGCAACAGCTTAAACTCACCTCATCTCCTCAGAACCCATTCTCTGCTTTCATCTTGATTCTTCCTAAGGTCATTTTATTGATTTTTTTTTAAGCTTTACATTTTTCTCTGCTCCACTACCTGCCTATCCCCTCCCTCTTGATGTCATTTTAAACCTTTCAACTTACGGTTCTCCATTGCAAGGACTGTAATGTTATGAACAGCATTTGTCTCTCGATCCAATAATTTTGCAGTAGTGATAACTCCACTGTTGGCATCAATATTGAAAAATCTCTCCAAATCTGTGTTTCTGTCAATTGAATATCTAGTTGAAAATTTAAAGAAAATTTATGTTTGGTTCTTATTTTTCATTGATTTCTTAGGTGATAAATAAATCCTGCTAGCTAATACCAATAATATATGTTATTCTAAAAACTCCTACTGTGTAGCTGTAGTCCCAGAGCTTGTGTTGTAGTGTATTTCCTTATGTGAAATGTTTTGAAGTGAGCACCATAGAATGCATTGCTTCAGCGTGGCTTGAACATTCCATTGCATCTCCCACACTTTGCTACTATAGTTTACAATTTATACTAAAACCAAGCCTATATATAGGTCACTGCAATATCTTTTTGGTATTATGGACCTATAGCCTTTTGTTTTGATAGTATCAATATTAACATTTTTTAAAACTGGGATCATCACTCAGAAGCCTTAGTTGGCTTTCCAAAGATATAAGACAAAGTTGAACACCTAAAATTGAATGTTATTTTAAGCTGTAAAACTACAACCTCAGAATTTAAAGAACTGTATAAGGTAAATATTATACATTTTAGCAATATCTAAAATACAATCATTGTTGAAAAATCATGCCATGTTTATATTCCAATGCTATATTAATATTACATAAATAAATCACCATCCCAAAATAAATTACCATTTTTAAATTCCCCTGTAATTGAGATTGACAGTGTTTATTACTTTAAAATAAGTAATTCAGTACAAACACACATACACACAAAGCAAACAACAAATAAAATCTTAATAAGTGCATCACTTCAGGAATGACCAGTGATGATTGACTCAACTACATACATGACAAACCTTCAAACATATTGGCTTCTAATTTTCTTTGCCAACTTGACTCATATAAACTGTTGGTCTGTTTCAACTTTTTAATCAATTCTTATAAACATTCATTATCTCTTCAGTCCTCATATTTAGCACTAGTGAAAACTCTGTTTAATCATGTTCTTCTGTCCTCTATCTTCTAACCCTGTAATTTCCATTCATCTTGAACTCATTATTTTAATGCTGTCAGTGTATTTCAAGAATTGTTATTCTATTATATCTTATATTTCTGAATTAGGAATTTGGGAGGACATTTATGGTGGTTTTTCACCTCCTAAGCTCTGATTGGACTGCAGAACAAAATCAGCTGGAGGTAGAATTACTTGATCTGAAATGTTTTGAGATCTATTTCAAAAGTATCTTTTTTCCCATGGCTTAATAGTGTATGAGTGGCATAGCTAACATATTGGTACTTTACATGATTTCTCATCATTGGTGTTCTCTTGGGAGGAGGGGCCTGCTTCCGGTGCTAGTTTAAGTAAGTCCTGGCAGCTGTAATTGTTAATAATTGTTAATAAGAAGACTCCAGTTGTATATTGTTATTAAAAGGCAGAGTTGATAGAAGGGTTCAAATCAAGTACAATGGTAGTGTTTTCAATCACATTCAGCTGTGAAGTCTGAAATGGAAGACTCTAGAAAATAAATGACACTGGAACAACCAGAGTCCTCAGCTGTGGAAACAGAGGGTATTGGAATTACAAGGTACTTGTATCACAGGGGGTGAATCTACAAGTTAGATCTTAAAACTATTATAACTCCATTTATGTCATCAGTCCCAGATACAAGATATGGAACATGTTGGAATTGGTGTTGATGTTCCTGAGTTTTTCAGGAGACGTATATTTGGAAGAGAGAATATTTACCTTGAATGTGGATAGCACAGTACTGTAGGTTTTATTCAGACTAAAATGGGAAAGAAATTGGAATACCAATTCCCTGACTCCTGACTTTAAAAAGTGTTTTTTCAAATATTTAATGCACACCATGTTAATGTACAGGGAAAACAGTGTTAAACTACCAAAATTTGGAAGATACTACAGATAATGGTCTTTATTTGCTTTCTAGAAACTTCCATGTTTGTTTCACCTAAAATTTACAGCTTCATTCTATGTGATAAGTTTTGCTGTATTTTTCAGAATAGGATAATGTGTGTATATGTATTTTATTCTTCATGCATAAACATATAGACATATTGAAATAATAAGCATGTATATATTACAAATAATATACACATTTATGAATAGCTTATCCACCATCAACAGGAAAATAGATATCAATTATATTAAGATGATTATATCAAAACCTATGCAATCTAGTAAAGCCAAAATTAAAAACTTTGTTTATACCGGGCGGTGGTGGCGCAGCCTTTAATCCCAGCACTTGGGAGGCAGAGGGAGGCAGATCTCTGGGAGTTCGAGGCCAGCCTGGTCTACAAGAGCTAGTTCCGTGACAGCGGGACAGACACCAAAGCTACAGAGAAACCCTGCCTCGAAACCCCCCAAAACAACAACAACAACAACAACAAAAGTTTGCTTATTCATTTTCTTATCCCTAAAGTGTAATCAAAAGATAATGTCAGCATATTTTTAAAATTTTACTTCCTTATGAGTCTGTGATGTGTTTGATTGTGCATGTGTATAAATATATGGGTGTTAGAAATTGACATAGAGTGTCTTATTCAATCACTTTTCACTTTATTTTTTGAGTCAGACCTCTAGCTTAACATGGGACTCATAAGTTCCTCTCATCTAGCTAAACAGTTGTTCAGGGATCCATAGTTTCTTTTTGCAAGTGCTAGGATTAAAGGTGAACATTTATGACCACTCAACTTTTTTCTGTTTTTGTGTGGATTCCTTAAATCTGAGGTGAAGTCTTCCAGCTTTCATTGCAAGCACTTTATTCACTGAGATATTTCTCCAGCCTTATCAAGATCCTTTTGATAAAATAGATTTACACAATATTTTGAAAAATTACATTAAACAGAATGATGGATTTTATAAAGACATTTTCATTCGAATATATCATGAATTTTAGCTTCTAAATTAATAAGGGCAGAGATAAATACAGAGTTCACATAAATATTCATTTAATTACTTATTGGGTTAAGGTTAATGACTAAATATTTGCCTGTATACTTAATTACTCAATTATTCCAGAATTGGATTAAAGGTTCTATATGTACATGGTTCATTTATCGTGGTGCTTTTGTCAGTACTCATCTCAAGAACTGAAAAACAATTGAAGATCTTGAAATATTCCATAAGTTAACAGGAAACCAAACTTGTAATCATTCAAAATGTAATTATTCTTCAATTATAAACTTTACTGATTTAAATTAATGTGTATCTGAACAGCTGTAATCTTTCCATTGATCTGTACTATTGATATTTGTGTACAAGTTTTTAGATAATGTGTATAAGTGTTTATAACCTTATTTTTTTTTCTGTTGTTCATTCATGCACTAATTATTTAATTGCATTGAACTGACATTCCTTTTCCTAAAACCACACATAACAAAGTAATAGCACAAATTATAAAGGCAGAAATATAACAAGTTGAATTGGTATTAAACAGAGAATGTTAAGCTACAAAGAAAGAAATATGTATTATTTCAAGAAGAGTTGAAAGACTGGAAATGCACATTGGTAGACAGATATATTGTCCGTGAGGTTTGTTCTTATTATGTTTCTTACTGACAGGCTTGGTGCAACCAAATATTAGAACATTAAGTATTACCCATTATCTTATCATTAGATAGAAGTTGTTATGAGCATGTCAACAAATTGAAGGTGAAGTATAAATAAAACTTAAACCAATTAATTTGTAAAAAAAAGTTAAAATATAACCCTTAATGTAAAATAATCAAAGAAAATTAGTTTTTTTTTCTTTTTCTTGTTTAGAATGAGAAGTGTTATCTTTATCCACCCTAGAATATAGAAAAGGAGACTGAACAAAAAGAAAAGCAGGAGTCTCAGAAAAGCTTAGAGGGAACTTGTGCTTGCAACTGTGTGATTAACTGTTATCAACTTGACACGAACTAGAGTCATCTATGAATTGGAAATGTCAATGGTGGAACTGTCTCCAACAGACCAGACTTTGGACATGACTGTGGAGCATTTTATTAATTGTAACATAAGGGCCTGCCACAGGAGGTGTCATCCCTAAGCTGGTTATGTGTGGTCCTGTGCTGTATAAAAAATAGCTTAGCAATAAAGAAGAATCACTATAGGAAATAAGTGGTGTCCTTTGTCTGCTTTAGTTTTGTCTATGTGTTCTCACCTTGAATTCCAGTTCCGGCTTTCCTCAAAGTTGGATTTAAACCTATAATTCAAATAAACCCATTCCTTTCCAAAAATGATTTTGTCAAATGGTCTATCATAGCAAAAAATAGAATCAACCTTAGTATCTCCACACTGCTTGGTAATCTTAAAAAAATAATGGAAAGTAAGAGGAGAGTCATTTTATTGGTCAGGTGCAAACTTTCAGTGCAATTTTTGATGCTGCTAGTATGAGGGCAAAAAAATGACTGTTCTATCTTCCCCTAAATAGCAGCTTGAATAATAGGCTTCCATCAGTATATGCTAGAGTGGTTGGTTTCAGAAATCACTCACATGTTACTAAAAGGCCTGGTTACTCTGTTTCCAGTGGGTATGTTGGAAGACTGGTTTTAGGGATGACATATGTGTAATATTAGCAGTGATAACTAATCTGCCTTGTCCTTTTAGAGATATTCACCTATCAATATATCTGAATATCTATTTCTCATTTCTGAGGCTTGTAGAGGGTTGCGTAAAGCCTCTATTATTCATGCATAATATATTCCAAAAAAGATCGATCAGGCACTCTACTGCAAAGGAACAAAAACAAAAACTATATTCCTTGTATGTTTCTATTCTCATTTTCAGATTGCATTGAATATTAAAACATAGGCTACCATTTCTCCTGATTGCTCAACAATACCTGATATTAGGTGTAGGAAAGACTTCTATTTGGGTATCTAAATCCTGTTTACCTAAATTATTCTGAATTTCACTTTGCTTCCATTATAAAAAATCATGTATCCATAAAATGTAAAATTGCTAACTTTCTTTGGAAATATTTAGATTTTGAATTTTTTTTTGTAACATTAGGGTCTTCTTGTTGGGGTTTCTGTTCTGCCCAGTTCCCACAGCTGGCAAGTCGCAAAGAAAATTATAC